GTACGGATTATTGTCAGCTCCCTAAAATGGCCGCTAGGTGGCGTAATTACAGTTTCAAACGTCATTATTTTGCAAAAACTCATTACTGCTCAATTTCCAAACCTTGTAGTTCATGTTGTTTCTTCGTATTTAGGTTATTTTATGGTATTGTTTGTTATTTTAGAAAAAGTTGGTTTCATTTGAAGAGCGCTTATCCACTTTCCTAAGGCTGAGTCCTGACCGACTAGTTCAACTTCTGGCCACCAGATGGCGCTTTGTGGACGTGTCAGCATTTTTTTTATTTTTTTTCTGAAAATTTCAAAGACATGTCTAATTTTATATTTTGAACAGAAAGTGCATTAAAATTTCATGTAAAAAACATTCTTATTTTTAAATTTTTTATCCTGCAACTTTTACATAGGTGATTTTTGGGTTATTAACTCCTTTCGACGATTCTTCCAAGCAGCTAAAATAAATTACGCAACTTTGAAAACACCCTGTATATTATCCGAGCAGCGCACCTTAAAGCTCAATTCTAAGAAGACAAAAGTATTTGGAAAAATAGTTTTATTAAAAGTAACAAATGAAGTGTTCAGTTTCTGTGATTCGGAAAATGTTGAAATGAAATTTTTCGCAACACCTCGTACACTTTAATCGCCCAATTAACATTATGGACGTGGTATCGCGCAGCGACGAGCGTATCTCGATATCTGATTCTTAATAAGTAAATAGTTTACATTTACATACCGATATTAGTAATTAAATTAAAGTAATTGCAGACCGTGCAGCGATTCCACTGAATCTATTAACTCCGTTTAATGGAGTGATTACATAAAATGTTAATCGCCTGATTATGCACGCCACTTGTAAATCCGGTAGTGAGAAGAATATGTTTAAAAAAATGGGCTCAACCGGGATTTGAACCCGGGACCTCTCGCACCCAAAGCGAGAATCATACCCCTAGACCATTGAGCCGCCTTGATAGCAACTTTCTAAATAACATTTATGGCGAACGCGTTTTGTATAACTTTCACTGTTCGTCATTCAGTTTATGTAGTACAGTAAAATTATTCGTAGTTGTAGACACCTCCCTGCACAAAAGTCTAAGCCACTTCCAATGGAGGTCGGGTAAGGGAAATGGCTGACCATAAAAAAGACATTTCTTCTTTTGAAGAATATACTAATAATAATGTTTATTTACAAAAACATTTTATGAATATACGGTGTTCATTTGAAAACATCCCACCACGAATTAATCAAAAATCACTGATTAAAAGAAAAAACGCCGAGACACATCAAAATATTTGTCAATGGGGACGACTTTTTAACCAAAAACTACTTAACCCCCTTTCAGCCTCTGCCCCCCAAGGTCATCCCCTTGAAAGTTTTAAATGACAAGGGGTATCGAGCAATAGCTTCTTTGAATTTCAAGAAAATTAGAAAAATCTTTATTTATCTTAATTAGTTCATATAGAAAACAAAAACTCACGAAGACATCAATTTTTTATTCCAGTAATGTTGCCCGTTATTGACCAAACATCGATATAGGCCATGTTTGAATTCCTGACGGACATTTTCAAAAACATGTTGTTCATCCAAACTTTCAGGCTGAGGAGTAAACACGATAGATTTCAAATGGCCCCATAGAAAACAGTCTAACGGCGATCAGGAGACCTAGCACGCCATTCACATTGAATTATAAATGAATTTTCGATTTGGCAAACTCTAAAGGTCAACATTTTGAACACTTATTGAAAAAAATCGATATAATTTCGATTCAAAGTTCAAAAGGAATTAAGCTTAGTTTCAAGGTCAGTTACAAGGTCACGAATAAATAGTAGGAGAAACTGAATCCCCTGCTATCTTTAAGTCATTATTTTTTTCTTTATCCTCAGAAACATTCCAGAAACTTTGTGAATTGACAGTTTTTCACGGTGTCCTTGACAAGGACGTTCTGGTTCAATACAACTTCCACTCAAGATCATAGCTAAACAAATGCCACTCTGCTCCTGCTTGAGATAAGCATAAAACTCAGATCCATGACATCGATACCTCTACGCGTTTCTGCGATTCTGATACAGATCTATAAGTTTCTGAAAATGACCAGACTTTTCTCATAAAATTGGTGAACGTCGAGTTGTTATCAGCATCACAGAAACGTGAGAAGGTGTGTGAATTGTAATCTGCTTATGCTATGATCTTGGCGCGAAATTTTTATCTCTGGCACCTTTTCTGCAATCCTGATACAAATCTACATGTTTCTGAATTTCCGAATATCGCACTGTCGACCACAGCTTCTTCGTAGAATTGGTAGATTGGATAATTGTTATTAGGTTTACAGAAACGCGAGGAGGTATGCAAATGTTACTCTGCTCTTGCTATGAGATAAGCACGAAATTCAAATCCATTGCATCAATACCTCTTTCCGTTTCTGCGATCCTCATACAGATGTATAAGTTTCTGAAAATCGCACTGTCGAACAGACTTTTCTCGTAAAATTGGTGAACGTCGAGTTTTTATCAGCATCGTAGAAACTCGAGAAGGTATGTGAATTGTACTCTACTTATACTATGATCTTGGTGCGAAATGTTTATTTCTGTGTACCTGTGGTGCCTTTTCTGCAATCCTGATACAGATCTACATGTTTCTGAACACCGCACTGTCGACCACAGCTTCTTCGTAGAAATGGTAGATTGGACAATTGTTATTAGGTTTACCGAAGCGCGAGGAGGTATGCAAATGCCATTCTGCTCCTGCTATGAGATAAGCACGAAATTCAAGTCCATGGCATCAATGCCACTTGCCGTTTCTGCGCTCCATTCGACATAAATTCATTTCAAACGTGTAAAAGAATTCTTGAAATTGGTTTGACCTTCAAGGTCATTCTTAAGCTCGGTTTCAAGGTCAGTTACAAGGTCACGAATGAATAGTCGGAGAAATTGAATCCCCCCAAGGATTTTGTGAAACGATCAAATCTACTTCTACCCAAAAGGGCGTAGCTTAGCGAAAAATATTTCATTCCATATATTTTCGATGTCAAAGGTGTAGAGAACGATTAAACAAATTTGACTTGAAATTGGTTTCACCTTCAAGGTCATAAGATCAGTTTCAATGGATAGCCAGAGAAAAATTGGAGCGGCTGCTGCCTTTGGGTCTTGTCTCCATAAATGACAATTGTGAAACTGGTTTCAAGATTGTAAAATTGTTCAATTCCACATTTAGCCAATTTTTCAAAATCGTAATGGTTGCCGCATATAATCAGTTTATTGAAAAAATGCATAATTAAATATTAATTACAAACTTGGTAAACGTTATGACAAATTTTCCTGTCAGCTGGAAGTACCAATTACCAGCTATTACACACATTTTAACAAATTTTACGACGAAATTATGAACGAATTGCCTAGGTATGCGTTTTGTCGTCAAATTTGTTACTGGTAGCAGCGACGCAGGAAAGCAAGGCCAACGCTGATCTTCAATTTCGTCTTATTAATACATTATGGATGGCCGTCATTTGAGGAAACACTCGGTATTAGAGTATGCTTTTAGTGCCGATTACCGCACAGTTACATTCAAGGTGTACATACTTGAGAATAGTAACGTCACTGTGACGTATGGCCTTTTTCACAAACATCCATTACGTTTTGACGTCTACTAGCAAGTTTGTAATGTTGATAACGTACACTGTACACGATGGTTTTGAAAATAAGCAATATGTAGAGGCAAATTTCTCGATACCTACCTTATTACTCAATCGGTCGTTTTGTAGTTATTCTTAACTCTTTTTTAGAGCAAAGGCCACATCTCGTCGAATACAATGATTGTACATCTACAGTCAGCACAGTTTTGCATGGTGTGCCACAAGGATCAATCCTTGGCCCTTTGATGTTTCTGCTTTATATAAATGACCTTCCAAATTGTCTTTCTAATATATTTATGCAGATGCACCACTCCAGTCTCAACCCACGATTCATTTATAAACATCAGCCAGTATATCTAATATTCAGAATTGGTTGATAGCTAACATATTAACAATAGATTAAAACAAATATCAATCGATGACAATCACACTTCGAAATATTGATCAGAATGATGACCTATGCAAACGTAGTGAAGTTTTTTGGTGTGTATGTATATCGACTCCTTGAACTGAGATGAACATATCAGACATGTTACCACATCCTCAACCAGAATAATTTATTTAGTTGGCAATTTAAAATACTAAGTTTCACTAAACGTCCTGTTGAACAGTTACCATGCGTACTTCCTCAGCAAAATGACATACGCCCTTCTGGCATGGGGCCACTCGCCGCATATGTACAGACTATTTGCCTTACACAGAAGATGTATAGATATATAGCAAACCTTAAATATAGAGATACCTGGTGCATATATATTTAGATGTGTCGCGAATGATCCCCTTCTTGGCTGGAGCAACCGCTTTGCAGAGACTGTCCGCCGCCGAAAAAAATTCTGCTTCTGGTACGGTTTTCCCGCGAGTGATATTACTTTTTTTAGTCCGTACACCTCGGTTAAATAATAACATCACTCGTTAGGCCGTCAAGGACACAGCTGACATAAATTTTTCTGATACCGTCACGATTGGGCAATTTGTCAAAAATCTTTGAAATTAAGATGTAGGAAATGAGATTATTTATGTCGGGTTTTAACACCTGCACAATCGGTTGTGTTGCTTTTATACGCTTATTATCTTTTATGTTCCAAGATTATGTTTTTGATTGATCTTGCCATGGCAATAATAGCAAAATAAAAATTATTTATTATTAATCTTTAATAAAGGTATGTAATACGAGTATTTCTCGTAAATCGGAATCACACTTATAGTCAATAAGACTGTCATTTGGATTGGGTCCACGGTGCTAAAGGGTTGACATATTCGCCGGGAGCGAAGTGCATATTGGGGGGATCTAAACCAGCCGCAGTGTAGACATTGGGCGAAGAGGTAAAGAAACGAGGATAATAAAAAACTTCATGAGTAAAATGAATTTAAAATGTTTTTTCTTGGACATCCAGTGTGTATAAGGTTTTATGAACTACGAAAACTTCGTCATCAGTTCACTTGATCATCAATCGAAACGTCGTAAATCAAAAAAGCTCAGAGACAATGAAAGTCCATGGAACAACATTTTATTCATCTAAATTATCTTCAGTTAAAATGAGTTTATTTCATATATGTTTGCGTGTATGACCTAGCAGTGTCTTCTTTGGTGGTATCAGGAGTAATAGCAAAATATTCATTCCACTTCCTTTGACTACTTTCCAGATGGTCGTATGTAGCATGTTGGGACACATCTCCCACTCCGGGTGTACCGGGCTGCGTTGCAGGGTTCAGAACACGTCGGTACACAGCTGAGGTCGTACCCACTGTCTACAGGATAGACTTGCGCGGGAAGGCTGCATGGTTCGTTGCAAACTGGTACGCAAGTGTCGTAGCTAGCACCTAAAATAGTAGATGCAAGGTATTTGCTACGTGTATGGTGTATCTGAAGTCACTTGAAATAGCATAAAAACCTTTGGTGGGCGCGTCCTTTGTAATTTCATGACGTATCATAGGCGTGCGGCATTTATTTAGAACGATAATAATAATGTTTTTATATCACAATAAATGGATTTTACTATCTTCTTATTTTTTTAATTTGTGATAAAAAATACTTATATTGGGAGTTTAATTTATGTTGACTGAAAGTTATGAAATGGAAAAATTACAGAATTCCAACGTTTGACATAGGCAAATATTTACATAGCAGGTAGGTATATAAAAAGGTATATAAAGACTTACATTATAGGTATTTATATATCATCCTCGCCTTCGGAGCTGTCGCTAGAGTCATCTTGTAGAAGAATTACAACGGGATTTACAGGAGGCAAAACACAATATTCATTTTCTTTTTCAATAATATGCCTAGAACACTGCTTCCATAGGTCTGTGGCAGCAATATGAGATACTGCATCTCTTATTGTGGCCAATAGCGATTCACTTAATTGAGGGGTCTGATTATGTTTTCTTACTTTTTTTTTTTAAAGCAGCCCAGACCAACTCAATCGGGTTAAAAATGCAGTAATAGGGAGGTAGACGTAATACTTCATGGCCATTTTGCTGAAGCAAATTGTCAACAACATACTCTTTTTCAAATTTTTGTCTTTTAATAAGATCCAATAATATGGCTTTGAATGATTTTTGTGGTATTTCCATTCCCTTATCCTTCATAAAATCAATAATGTCTTGTTTTTTTGTGCCTGTATTCGTAATTTTGTTTTTCTGTCGGGAATGGTATGGCGCATTGTCCATAATAATCACTGAATTTGGGGAAACATTTGGTATTAACTGCTGCTCTATCCACTTTTCAAATAAGTCGGAGGTCATGTCCTCATGATACTCGGCACATGATTCTTTGATATTTTTGGCAGATAACAGCAAGGCATTAGGTATAAATCCATTTTCACTACCAGCATGGAGAATAATGATTCGTTTTCCACGGTTGCATGGTGCATTTAAAATGCACTTGTTGCTGTCGTCAACCCAGCCGTACTGCACAACATCATGGGTATCATACCACGTTTCATCCAGGTAAATCAGATTTCTTTTCTGCTCTCTATAGATTTTAACTTTGTGCAAAAATTCTTGGCGCAATTCAACGATTCGAGACGACTCCATAATCACCATTTTTTTATCTAATTTTTTGTATTGAAAACCACACAGTTTTACAATACAGTGCAGTGAGTCTAAGCATTTGTAATTATAAAAATCTTCAGGATAATCTTTTAATTTATCCCGTATCATTTCCAACGTGGGCACCAAATTTTCTTTATAAAATTCGTATATTATACGACGAATATCTTCCTGAAAACCCACGTCTATTCTTTTTGATTTTTACCCTATGCGCTTTCTGTGGAAGGAATGGTTGACTACATCTCCCCTTTTTATAACCCGATAAATGGTAGACCGACTGATTTTTGTCAGGATACAAATTCTGTTTAAAATTTGATTTTGCGAGGAATCTGGATTTTCGTTTTTCAGACAATCATACATATTTAGGATTACTCTTTGGGTCTGTTCCTCTAAATCTTTATGAAAGAATTCTGCCTGCACAGGTTCATCAACCATCTCCTCGTGGCTTGGAGCATTTTCCCAAGGTCTCCAAAGAGCCATATTTAGGACACACAAGAACAATCAACACAACAATTAAATCAACAAGTAAACTGAGTATTCAAAAGTCAAAAACACACAAACTAATAAAATCTATGAAAAAACACGGGCAGACTAAAGAAAACACGTTTATTCATCGCTACACGGCACTGGCTAAACTGTTTCAATTTTCAGTAGCCACCTGCACTTGTTCCGAGCTCTGAAATACACGCTTTCTCATTGGCTATGTCCACGCATAAGCGTGCTTTACTCCACGTGGACCGGTGAAACTGCCTTTGATCTCTTATACGGGGGATATTTGTTGCGAAATTTGGCGATTTTTGCAGCAACAGAGCGTGTTAAATATAGACTAATATAAAATAAAAACGCACCCGGTATTTCACAGTGTTTCAAGTGACTTCAGATAAAGTATACTTCGTTCAATGGTCGAATTAATGAAATAGGGATACTTCTGGAAGACAATCAAATTTATTCTCTACTACTTCACTATCCTCACTTAACAGAGTGGGTTTGACCTTCAAAGCGGTAGCTCATTATTATCACTTCAGATATAGGAAATTTTCTGTACTTTTAGATAAAGAAATAATTGCTTAACCGAAAGTAGACATGTTAAACAAAAATTTGGGCAACTTCGCATTATACATTTTTGATTTTTTCACTCCAAGATACAGCCAAAGTGTATTTTAAAATCATTTAAAATGTTTTCTTTGGATTCAGCACCTTATTTTGTTATTTCAAATTTGGTTTTCTTATCAAAAAGTATAGAAAATTTCCCACATAAAATGTTACGCTTAAGATCCTACTGATACTTTTCAATTAAAAAAAAATCCTATTTACCAATTTTAAATATCTACGGCTATGTTCTTTGTGCATCTTTTAAAAATTATTATTACCTGGAGGATATATTTGATCGTATTCAGGTGCATAATTGCATTCAGCTGGACATTCCTGGATGCAGTAAACTGTTCCACTTTGGGTCTGCGCAAAGTACGTCTTATTCACGCCTCCAACAAGTCGCTGTTTCTGCTTTTGAAGCTGCTCGATTTCTTGCTGCTTTCGCTCGATCATCTGCATCAGCTCAGCGACCTTGAAAGATGATGATTTTAAATACACAACTTTAAAAATTAGCGAGCAAGAAAAATCCATATTTTTGGGTGATTTTTAACAGGCTGTGTTTTGGTGAAAAATGATCGTGTCTAGACTTTTTGAAGCTTCAAGGTTCTAGTTTTCAGGTTTTTAGTCAAAAAATTTGAGGACCAACACTTCTGAAGGATAGACCAATAAAAAAATCAATACTTTTCCCTTTTTAGACCACGGCCTTGAAAAAATATTCTCTGGTAGCTAAGGGTATTTCCGAAACTGTAATGATAATATTTGATTGCAATCTTTGAGGAAATTTTTTATGTTAAACAGTCAAAAACAGTAACATTTTGCTTTGTTTTCACCGCATTTTTGAAACCGCTATTGGGAAGGCTAATGTTCTTTCTGTTTTGTACCTCAATGTACCACTAATAACACCGCACGACGGCAAACCGATCAATTTTACGGAACTATTGGTCAAAATTTGAAAGACATCAAAGGAGCAACATTTTTGTAATCTGGTTGAAAATGGAAAAATCAGTTTTTCCCCTTTTGTCGTCAGTATTGGATATTTGTAACAGCTTCAAATGTAAAATGTATTTATTTATTATTGGAATATTCTAAGAAACCAGGGGTGGATCTAGAAAATATTTTTTAGGGATTTCAAATACGAATTTAGGAATTTATCGGTCGGGAAAAACTGTAAAATGGATCGATCTTCCGTAATACGGGATGATTAGGGTTATGTTTAGGTATTAAAAAACCTAAAAATATTAGCATTTTCTGCGGCCGATTTTCCAAAACAAGGCAAAAAGTAACTTTTTGATTTTTTTATAATCAATACTAAATTGCATCAGTTTTCGGAAATACACTTACACAAAGGTTTATATGATAGCCTGACAGAAACATTTTTTTTTTCAGATCCGTGTACTAAAAGAAGCTTCAAACAATTTTTTTAGAATCAAGATACAACCTTTTTTCACCAAAAAGTCACCGAAACATTTGGACATTTTTTCTTGCTCTCTTCATTTTTTTGGGTAGTGTAGTTCATCTAGTTAATCTATCTGCAGGAAAAGTTGTTCTCTACTGGATATCAAAAGAATTGAGATAGTCCAAATCTTGAGAAGGGAAGCCTTGGACTTTAACAAAAAAAACGCAGGAAGATCGGACACTAGTTGTTCAGAGCACTCGTACAGAAACTAAAATTGAGTGTATCAAGATTTTGTGAAGAAAGCATGTAGAAACAGAAGAAACCACAATGCATTTTATCTTTGATTGCCCGATAAGACCATGTAGGGGACATTTCCAGATGATTTTAGGGTTTATTAAGCATTTGGATTAAGACTTCGCCCAATTACTAGTAACTGAAGGGTGTCTCAAATATTATGGAAATTGGTTCATAGTTTTCCCCAACTATCTAATGGTGATCTTGAGTCTGACGCTGATTATGTTTTCGATGTTTTAATGGCACCCCCTATTTTTGACCCTGCAAATGGGAAGAGCAGAAAATTTTACGTTTAAATATGGACTTTACCATTCTTAAACTTTCACGTTTGTAGGACATGATCAAGGTCAAACCTAGTTAAAATGATATAACTTTGAAAACCAGTAGTCATATAGGAAAACGACAGAGACTTTATTTCGTCGATTTTTTCGGTATATGTAATGGTGACCTTGGATCTGACCTTAACAATGATGACCCTAATAGTCATGTGAAATTATACAGTTTTCTGAATTATCAAGAAATCAAGTCAAGCTTCTGCCTACGGAAGAGGCTATCGGATTGAGCTTTTAATGACTGGTGAATTTGTGAAATTACCACGTATGTATGTATAACATTGTTCGTTATGTTACAATTGTCCATTTTATATATATTTTCATCTGTATCTACGAGTTGTCTACCCAATGTCTGTAATGTAAATATACTAAGTGACATATAAATCCGAACACCCAGTTTAAATGGTTTTATTTTAATAAAAGTTGGTGAATGTATTTATCTTACTGTAAATAACAAGTGAAAAATTTTTCAGCCTTATCAGTTGGACATTCCGGTTTTTATACTGCCTTTTTTAATTTACTAACGCTCTAAAAATGAATATATCAGCCGCAGTAAAGAATCAACGTTGGTGGATTTTGATTCTTGACCTTCTTATACGATCGGTTACGATGCCTATAGTACGGAGACCTGTACGATTTCTTCAACTTAGTGAGTTTGATAGGGGCCGTATAGTGGGACTTCGGGAAGCTGGACTTTCTTTTCGGGCAATTGCAGTTAGAGTGCAAAGAAGTGTAGACACTGTGGTTAGGTGTTGTCAGGCATGGCTTCGAGAAGGCCATACGCAAAGAGCAAGGGGCACTGGACGCCGCCGTAGAACAACAGACCGTGAAGATCGCCGCCTAAGATTATTGGCCTTAACCGTTTCTCCACTACCAGGTCCATTGCAAATGACTGGTTTGCAGAACACGGAAGACCTATTGGCATGCGAAGTGTTTACCGACGAATGAGAAGTTTTGGCTTGTTTTCATACCGGCCACACTGGGTCCTCCCTTTAACTCGAGAACACCGACGTAATCGCCTTGAGTGGTGCAGACAACGGTCACTCTGGGATCAGGAATGGAACAGTACTGTCTTTAGTGACGAGTCTCGATTTTGTTTAGGCATGCACGATGGTCGTGCAGGGTTAGAAGGCGACGTGGTGAAAGGAGGAATTCACAGTTTTTTGTTGAAAGACATGTTCATCACACTGTTGGAGTTATGGTTTGGGGTGCTATAGCTTATGGCTCCAGGTCACCTTTAATCTTCATCAGAGGTAACATGAACGCGCAGCGTTATATCCACGAAGTTCTAGAACCCCATCTTTTATCCTATCTTGACACCCTGGCAGATCCAACTTTCCAACAAGATAATGCCCGACCACATGTTGCAAGAGTCACAATAGACTTCTTTCAACATAATGATGTCACATTGTTACCATGGCCACCAAGATCTCCCGACTTATCCCCAATTGGGCGCGTGTGGGATATGATGGGTAGGAGATTGCTCAATTTGCAACGTCCTCCTCAGACTCTAGAAGCACTTCGAGAGGAGTTGGTGGTTGCCTGGAATGAGATACCACAGGAGGACATTGACCACCTGATCAGAGCATGCCTAGGCGCGTTGGCGAATGCGTAGCATATCAGGGTGCATCCACACATTATTAAAGGTCAAAGGGCTTTAAAGCAGTGCAATCATTTTGAAATTTTATCATTTACTTATTATGATTCATTAAGTACTTATACAAAATTTTATTAAAATAAAACCATTTAAACTGGGTGTTCGGATAGTATATGTATGTATGTACTAAACCCAGAATACCTTAGCCTGTCGTTCTTCCTCAGACATCTGCAACTCCTGCCCACCAGACGCAACCTTCCACCTCTCCATAACTGCATGAGTGGTCTTCATGAACTCCACCAAGGCGTCCATGAACGCCTTTTCAAATACGGTCACTGACCCGACTGGTTTGACTCCATCGGTTTGTGCGTTCGTCGACTGAAACTTAACTTGGGCTAAACCCCCTGGTGCTGAGTGCATACTCCTACATTGCTCCTCCACTGGACACTGCCTGGACATTGCCGATGATGATGGTGCGGACCGGTGATTTTGATGTGTCAGGTGTTGGACATGTTCACGTCAAAGCGATCAGGTTGGATTGACAGGTGTCAAGGGGTGACTGATCCAGAGCTGCTCTCCAGTGACCCTGTTGATTAACTCTGAGTAAGTCAGTAGTGCTCAGCACCAATATCGTTCCATTGCACCTGGTACTCTCGTTCATTGTTTCTGGAGTTCGGGAGCGTCTCACTCTCAAACCAAAAACCAGTGGAAAGCAGCTCAGATGGGTTGCATAATTCTATAGGAAAGGAGCTTTGGGATTACAATACAATTACTGGGTCTAGCAAGAGGTGTAACCACCAGAAGTGTTTGAGCCACATCGACAAGAGTCTGTTACGAACTTGGACCTCCAGTTGATGAAAGTAAATGAAAATAAGATCGCCTGGCAGCAGCACGAAGAGCCAGGTCGACCTAGTCATTTAGCTGGAGTGGGCAAGAAATTAGCCATAAGAGAATGAGACGCGTCTCAGGAATACCAGCGAACCAAATATGTTGCTTCCTTAACTCCTCGACGTCATCTACCAACCACTGCAAGGGAATTCATCTTCAAATTCCGAGATAGATTTACAAGAACTTTGCCCAACTCATAGCACACAGCTTGATACTAAACAAACTCAAATGAAAGGTTTCATAGCTCCAAACTGGTGGCAGCATTAGATAGCTATCAATTGAGCATGAAAAATGCTGTTTTCATTATTGAAGCAACCATTGAGGCACTCATAACATTGACGAGGTTTTCTATAAGCAAGTCCTCAATTCAAAGAATTTCTACCGGAAAGCGAAAGGAGCGCGAAGAAGCTATATAACTTGATTTCCAAAGCGAGCATAAATGACACTAACGTCCAACACCTTACAGCAGTGTATGGATGCCGCAAGGGTCTGTCCTAGGCTCACTGCCATCGTTTGTTATATATTTTATATCTGTTTGTATATTTTGCAATGCGATTAATGAAAGTCTTCGAAAAAAAAACTACTCTGTTCAATTTCTAAAGATTAATACATATCTGGTGCTTTGGTGACTATATTCTGGCCCAAAAAACATCCTTCAACCTTGCTCCCTCTGATTTTTCATAAAAGATTTTTTTATTACGTACGGTCCTGTACCGACCAAAGGGTTGTGACATAACCTCACCCGTTCTACACCCGGTTAGTGACACGACAATCTGTGACAGCATTCTTTTGTTTTATCGTGTTTCTTTTCAGCCCACCCAGTGAGGTGCTAGGTTAGGGTATCACCTGGCGATGCTCCCGCTGGTCAGATCTTCTTCTTCTTCTCCTTCGTTTCCATGGGAGATTTCGTATCGCCTCTAAAACTTATTTATACCCTTGCGATACGGCTGAACTTTATGTTATTGTCTTTTTTTAAAGACGCGAGTTTGGGGCAGATGTGCGGTTTTTGTTTTTTAAAGGTTATGATTTTATGACATACACTCAACTGATACCTGAAGTTACAGGTGCAAGATGTCCATACCAAGAGAGAAAAAGAACAAAAAAGACATTTAATAAAGTTATGGCTTCACATAATTTAGAAGCATAGACAAGTGAACTAAAAGTTCTTATAGTTTATAGTTTCTAAGCCTGTTTCTGTATGGTATTTCAGTTTTTGATCAATTTATTGTATAATAAAATTTGTTTTTTTTTTAGTTTAGGTACGTACAAAGTTATTTAGGTGATAAAAATACCCGCATTTTATTGTTTTTAGATATTAAATAATCAAAAGTGTCATGTATTTCGAGTCCTTGGTTAATTTGGGACGTAGTGGTTATGGATGATTATTAGGAAGATCTGAAGCTTAGGTGAATTTGAGAGCTGTATATTTGATTTCTGCTCAAGCAATAAATATTCTCTTTTGGACTACCTGTATACTTAGACACCATGATGATCCACGTTTATACCCGAACACCCTAAAAATTTGGCATTTAGTATGTCAAAAAAGCAATTTGTCGATGACATCAAAGATGATCTAGAAAATGACCTCAGAGGTCATTTGGAGGTCAACTTAGTAAATTCAAATGGTAACCACTAGGTCAATCAGCATAACCGATTGTAACGTCTGAAAAGTACTAGCACATCCCAAAAACTTAACAATCACGCAAATTTGGTAAGGAAAAAAGTGTTAGGGCATGTGTGCATGACCTTCAGATTCGAACTAGATATTGACCTCAGAGGTCATTTGAACGTCAACCTTGTAAGTTCAAATAGCAACCACCATTTTTGGCAACAGATTCGTATAGAGTCGGAAATTCTGGATCAGAATACTTTTTTTTTACATGAGATGAAATGAAATCATAAGTTTTCAGCGTGTTTTCAATAGTTACAATAGGTCATGCTGATTGAACCACTTATGACCGGTTGACCTCAAGTAGGAAAATGAAATCTGATTCAGAATCTCGAATCCAACACGAATATGTTTCCAAAAATGGTGGTTCCCGTTTGAGTTTACAAAGCTGACCTCAGAATGACCTCTGAGGTCACTGTCTAGATCATATCTGAGGTCACCGATAAATTGTTGGATACGCTGAAACTTTTATCTCACGTGTATCTTACAGACGTTAAAGTAGGTCATGCTGTTTGAATCATTTATGAAATCTTGACCTGTATGTAAATGAAGTCTGATGCAGACTCGAATAAATTTGACAAATGGTGGTTGCTATTTAAAATTCACAAAATTTGATCTTCAAATGACCTCTGAGGTTTGTCTAGGTCATATTGGAAGTCATCGACAAATTGCTTATTAGATACCCTGTAACTTCTCTTCGAACATGTTTGCTGAAAATGGAGGTTTGCATTTAAATTTACAAAATTGACCTACAAGTGACCTATGTTGTCATTGTTTAGGTCATATCTGACATCATCGACAAATTGC